GTATAGTGTAGTGTATAGTAGTGTATAGTGTAGTATACTAGTACAGCACTAGTGTGTAGTGTATAGTGTAGTGTATAGTAGTGTATAGTCTAGTATACTAGTACAGCACTAGTGTGTAGTGTATAGTGTAGTATACTAGTACAGCACTAGTGTGTAGTGTATAATGTAGTGTATAGTGTAGTGTATAGTGTAGCATACTAGTACAGCACTAGTGTGTAATGTATAGTGTAGTGTATAGTGTAGTGTATAGTGTAGCATACTAGTACAGCACCACCGGTTGTGTGTCGGAGAGCAAAGCCGCGATATTTCACAATCCGAGTACGACGTTTCGCCAGTAAATACAACTAGCATCATCAGGCGGACAGAAACCAGATTTGTGGAGCAATCCCCCTCCTGTTTCGTTCCTTAAATAGATGGAGGGGGGGGGGGGGGATGTGATGGCGTCACTTGCGAGCCCTTCTTGCCTACTTACGCGTTCGACTGAACTTGACCAGTCGTGCCATGCGAGGATCGTAGTCCGTTGGTCCATCTCGATGACCGTCTGAGCACGCACACAGGACTGACCCAGTGCCGGATTATCGTCGTAACAAAAGTAGCTGCATATGTAGTAGCAGAAGTAGCTAAAGTAGCTACATATGTAGTAGTAGCTACGACACAGTAGCTTCTACAGCTACTACACAGTAGCTGTAGTAGCTGTAGTAGCTACGGGCCCCGCACTTTCAAGGGCCCCGCGCTAAACGCTTTCAAGCTCTCAATTGCGGTTCAGTGATTCTGCACTTGCTCTATCACTATAGTACTATACCGCCTTCAACTTTTATGAACGACCGGGTGTGTAAGGTTCGCGATTTGTCGTATTATATGTCTGTATAGCAAATGAAAAAAATACAATTACTTTACTATGCGAGTTAAACATTTGTGTTTTAATATTTACGTGTTTAAAAAAAAATGAAATTTAGGGCCCCTTTATAACACCATCTGTTACAGGCCCCGCCACTTCGCTTAATCCGGCACTGATCGATGACGCGCGTGGCCTTCGTCGTTGTCAGAGATTACGCGGTGATGGAGGGGCCACCGGGGCTCTCCAAGCTGATGCTGTGGCACGAGGAGTACGCGCAACCCACCTCCACACATGCTCAGCAACAGCAGCTGATGATGCTGCATCATCATCATCAGCAGCAGCAGCACCACCTCCAGCAGCAGCAGCACCACCTCCAGCAGCAGCAGCAGCAGCATGCCAGCACATATCTGCGGTGAGTCTTATGAAAAGGTCGACACCTCTATTTGTATTCTTTGGGTCTTTGGGTAAAGCCACGTAGACAATTAAAATAACAAACCAAAAATATCACGACGTTTCGATCCTGAAGACGATTGCTTGTGTTGCGATCGAAACGTCGATGTTTTGTGTTATATTTTTTTCTCTGTGGCTTTACCGAAAGATCCAAAGAATATGAATCCCTGCATTCACGAAAGCTTTAAGTCGAGATTCTGCTCTATTTGGTGCGGTTAGCCCCCCCCCCGGCTGCGCTACGAACCCGGCGAGCCCGAGTTAAATTCCCCGCTCACGGCCAACACCGGTGACGATCATCTGAACCGGTCCTGGGCCATCCCCTGAGATGGACTCAGCCTCACATGAGGAGCTGGTGCGGTGCGTAGTAAACATCGCCACTGGAGGACGACAAAAGGTGGCCGGGCGTGGTGCTGGCACAGTCCCTGGACTTCGTGGGTGCTGCTCGCTAACAGCACTTGCCCCAACAGTCTGTTGTCAAGGCTACACGGGGGATTTGTACGTTTTGTTAATGGGATCATGGGCGGGAAGTGATCAAGTTTGATTTCACGATGACTTCGACTGCCCATCGCAAACCTCGCGGTGGCGGCTTCTGACTCAGCCAATCGGACAAGCACGGCGGTCACCGCATCGCGCGGCGCTTTCATACGCGCCTCCGCGGCCGTCTGGAACGCTCTTCCTTCCGATATTCGGAAGCCGCTGGGAGCCTTTACGATATTATACCCGTATCAATTATACTATTACGATGTTATAAGTATAATATTACAATGCTATAATTAGAATGTTACAATTATACCATGATAATGTTATGATTATAATGGTATAATTATAATGTTACAATTATACCATGAAAATGTTATGATTATAATGCTGCAATGGTATAATTATAATGTTACAATTATACCATGATAATGTTATGATTATAATGTTCTAATTATAATGTTACAATTATACCATGATAATGCTATGAGTATAATGTTATAATGGTATACTTATAATGTTACAATTATAACATGAAAATGTTATGATTATAATGGTATATATTCTTAGCTCTTTCGGTAAAGTCACGTTGAAGGGAAACAATAAAATAATAAAATATATATAAAACAATAATATATTTTATTATTTTATTGTTTCCCTTCAACGTGACTTTACCGAAAGAGCTAAGAATATGAATTACTGCAGTCACGAAAGCTTTAAATTATAATGGTATAATTATAATGTTACAATTATACCATGAACATGTTATGATTATAATGTTATAATGGTATGATTATAATGTTACAATAATACCTTGAAAATTTTATAATGATAATGTTATAATGCTATAATTATAATGTTACAATTATACCATGAAAATGTTATAATTATAATGTAATAATGGTATAATTATAATGTTTCAATTATACCATGATAATGTTATAATTATAATGCTTTAATGCTATAATAATGTTTCAATTATACCATGATAATGTTATAATTATAATGTAATAATGCTATAATTATAATGTTACAATTATACCATTGTAATGTTGTGATTATAATGTTACAATGGTATAATTATAATGTTACAATTATGCCATGATAATGTTATAATTATAATTCTATACTGTTATAATTATAATGCTATGATTATAATACGTCGCATCGCGTGGCGTTTTCAGACGCACTTCCGCGGCCGTCTGGAACGCTCTTCTGATATTCGGAAGCCGTGGGAGCTATTATGATATTAGGGGCCGTCCATACATGACGTCACGCACCTGGGGGGGGGGGGTCAGACATTTGTGACGATGTGTGACGAGGGGGGGGGGGTTTGAGAAATGTGACGTCACATCAAAATGCGCAACTTTAAATAAATGTAGACAACACGTTCTATATAATTAAATAGACTTTTAAATAAATGTTTTCTCCTACAACATCAGAGTGCAGCGCCACATTAAATACGCGCTACAATGACAATAGTTTAAAGCGATTTGAAGCATGTTTTTTCTATATATTTGGGGGCGGGGGGGGGGGGCAGAGCTTTGTGACGTCATATTTGAGAGGGGCGTCTGACTTTTTGTGACGCCGTGTGACGAGGGGGGGGGGGTCAAAAATCGTCCAAAATCGCGTGACGTCATTTACGGACGGCCCCTTATCCTGTTATCAATTAGACTATTACAATGTTATAATCAGGATGTTACGATGTTATCATTACAATGCTACAATTATAATATCACAGTGCTACAATGATAATATCACAGTGCTACAATTAGAGTATTACAATAGCGCAATTATAATATAATTAGTGAATTATAATATTACCATGCCCTAATTGAAACATTGTGACGAGAACAGTTTTAATATTACAATGCATTAGTTTTAATATTATAATGAAATGATTATAATATTACAATGAGATAATTACGATATTATAATGCTCTAATTGTGATGTTTTAATGAGACGATTATTATGTTACGATGAGATAAATACACAATTGCAATGCCCTAATGTTAATATTACAATAAGATGATTATAATATTACAATTAACTATATTATTACGAGATATAATATCACGATGAGATACTTACAATGCCCTCATTGTAATATTACAATAAGGTGATTATAATATACGATGAGGCGATTATATTACAATTAGATAATTATAATATTACAATTATATTATTCTAATATTACTATGAGATAGGTATATCAGGATTAGATCATTACAATGCCCTAATTATAATATTACAATGAGGCAATTATAATATCACAATGAGGCAATTATAATATTACAATGAGGCAATTATAATATCACATTGAGGCAATTATAATATTACAATGAGGCAATTATAACATCACAATGAGGCAATTATTATATCACGAGGCAATTATAATATCACAATGAAGCAATTATAATATCACAATGAGGCAATTATAATATCACAATGAGGCAATTTTAATATTATAATGAGGCAATAATAATATCACAATGAGGCAATTATAATATCACAATGAGGCAATTATAATATCACAATGAGGCAATTATAATATCACAATGAGGCAATCGTAATATTACAATGAGGCAATTATAATATCACAATGAGTCAATTATAATATCACAATGAGGCAATTATAATATCACAATGAGGCAATTGTAATATTACAATGAGGCAATTATAATATTGCAATGAGCTGATTAACATATTGCGCGTTAGCCCCACCCACGGTGGTGACGTCAACACGCCGTGACTGTTCCGCCATGTGCTCGCCACTGGTGAATGGGCCGCGTGTTATTTGTTATTTTCGGTCGCACGACGCAGCGGTTGGGTCGTTTACAATCCCCGGCGGTTGTTGTTGTTTGTTGTTGCTGGTGCTGCTGCTGCGGCTACACGGGAGAGTTAGGGAGAGATGAGAGAGAGAGCGCGGGAGAGACAAATTAATAAGTGAGACGAGTAGCAGGCAGCAGCAGCAGCGGCGGCGGTAGTGAGGAGAGGGGGTGGGAGGAGGAGAGAGGCCTGGAGGCGCCATCGCCGCGTCGTGGACGAGGAGAGGGACGAGGAGAGAGGGAGACGAGGAGAGGAAGAGGAGAGGGGGAGACGAGGAGAGAGACGAGGAGAGAGACGAGGAGAGGGACGAGGAGAGAGACGAGGAGAGGGAGAGACGAGGAGAGGGGGAGACGAGGAGAGGAAGAGGAGAGGGGCAGACGAGGAGAGAGACGAGGAGAGGGACGAGGAGAGAGACGAGAGGGGGAGACGAGGAGAGGGAGAGAGGCGAGAAGCGACGCGGAGGTGACGAGGCGAGTCGGTAAGAAGAGGAGACGAGGTGAGAAGAGAGCACACTAGGGGGAGAAAGACGACGAGGAGGCGAGGTGTGAGGAGAGGCGACGAGGAAAGAGGCAAAGAAGTCCGACGAGGTGGGAGTGCGAGCGAGATACACGCGCATGAAGTAGACGGAAGAGGTGGACGAGGTGGAAGGAGGAGGAGGAGGTGACGAGACGAAGGGGGGTGGTGTGGGAGAGAGAGGGAGGGAGGGAGAGGCATCTGGCGACCTCCCTCGCCATGGCGTGGACGCTGAAGCTGCCGCTGCCGGACGAGGCCATCGAGTCGGGGCTGGCGCACGACTTCGACTCCAGCCTGTCGGGCATCGGGCAGGAGCTGGGGGCCGGGGCCTACAGCATGAGGTAGACACAGCTGGGGGTGACTACAGCATGAGGTAGACACAGCTGGGGGTGACTACAGCATGAGGTAGACACAGCTGGGGGTGACTACAGCATGAGGTAGACACAGCTGGGGGTGACTACAGCATGAGGTAGACACAGCTGGGGTGACTACAGCATGAGGTAGACAGCTGGGGGTGACTACAGCATGAGGTAGACACAGCTGGGGGTGACTACAGCATGAGGTAGACACAGAGCTGGGGGTGACTACAGAGGTAGACACAGCTGGGGGTGACTACAGCATGAGGTAGACACAGCTGGGGGTGACTACAGCATGAGGTAGACACAGCTGGGGGTGACTACAGCATGAGGTAGACACAGCTGGGGGTGACTACAGCATGAGGTAGACACAGCTGAGGGTGACTACAGAGGTAGACACAGCTGGGGGTGACTACTAAGGTAGACACAGCTGGGGGTGACTACAGCATGAGGTAGACACAGCTGGGGGTGACTACAGCATGAGGTAGACACAGCTGGGGGTGACTACAGCATGAGGTAGACACAGCTGGGGGTGACTACAGCATGAGGTAGACACAGCTGGGGGTGACTACAGAGGTAGACACAGCTGGGGGTGACTACAGAGGTAGACACAGCTGGGGGTGACTACAGCATGAGGTAGACACAGCTGGGGGTGACTACAGCATGAGGTAGACACAGCTGGGGGTGACTACAGCATGAGGTAGACACAGCTGGGGGTGACTACAGCATGAGGTAGACACAGCTGGGGGTGACTACAGAGGTAGACACAGCTGGGGGTGACTACAGCATGAGGTAGACACAGCTGGGGGTGACTACAGCATGAGGTAGACACAGCTGGGGGTGACTACAGCATGAGGTAGACACAGCTGGGCGTGACTACAGAGGTAGACACAGCTGGGGGTGACTACAGAGGTAGACACAGCTGGGGGTGACTACAGCATGAGGTAGACACAGCTGGGGGTGACTACAGCATGAGGTAGACACAGCTGGGGGTGACTACAGCATGAGGTAGACACAGCTGGGGGTGACTACAGCATGAGGTAGACACAGCTGGGGGTGACTACAGAGGTAGACACAGCTGGGGGTGACTACAGCATGAGGTAGACACAGCTGGGGGTGACTACAGCATGAGGTAGACACAGCTGGGGGTGACTACAGAGGTAGACACAGCTGGGGGTGACTACAGAGGTAGACACAGCTGGGGGTGACTACAGCATGAGGTAGACACAGGGAGAGCTGGGGGTGACTACAGCATGAGGTAGACACAGCTGGGGGTGACTACAGCATGAGGTAGACACAGCTGGGGTGACTACAGCATGAGGTAGACACAGCTGGGGGTGACTACAGAGGTAGACACAGCTGGGGGTGACTACAGCATGAGGTAGACACAGTGAGAGCTGGGGGTGACTACAGTATGAGGTAGACAGGGAGAGCTGGGGGTGACTACAGCATGAGGTAGACACAGAGCTGGGGGTGACTACAGCATGAGGTAGACACAGCTGGGGGTGACTACAGAGGTAGACACAGCTGGGGGTGACTACAGCATGATTTAGACACGGCAGGGAGAGCTGGGGGGTGACTACAGCATGAGGTAGACACGGCAGGGAGATCTGGGGATGACTACAGCATGATTTAGACACGGCAGGGAGATCTGGGGACGACTACAGCATGAGGCACAGGCAAGGAAGCGTGCCTCTCCTACCTCTAGACTTTTCCCTTCGCCATAGCAATGTGTCATTTCCACCGCCGCGTCGGCAGGTGGGGGAGGGATGGCTGTAAACAGAAGACGAGCACCAGTGGCTTCACGGCTCATCCCGAGCGGCAGGAAATCGCTTTGACCTCTCGCGACGATGTGTCTAACGAGGAAGACGAGCTCGCTCGCTGCAGAGTCGTCAGCCGACGACCCGTCTTTAATTCAGCTGTGCGTTGGTCTCCCCCCCCCCCCCCCCCCATCCGACCGTGCCCCCCCCCCCCCCCCCGTGCTACCTGTTGCAGCGACGTGTTGGCGCTGCCCATCTTCAAGCAAGAGGAGTCGAATCTGTCGAGCGAGAGCGACGCGAAGCAGCCGCCGTTCCAGTACGTGCTGTGCGCGGCCACGTCGCCCGCCATCAAGCTGCACGACGAGACGCTCACCTACCTGAACCAAGGTTCGCAACCGCAACCTCCAACCACTACCACAACCTCTAACCACAACCACACCCCCAGCCACAACCACAATTCCAACCACAACTGCAACCACAACTGCAATGACAACTACAACCACAACTCCAACCACAACCCCAGCTACAACTTCAACTACAACCCCAACCACAAAACCAACCACATCCCCCATCCACAACTCCAACCACAACTCCAACCTTAACCCCAACTACGACCTCAACCACACCACAACCCCAATCGCATCTCCAGCCACATCTCCAACCACATCTCCAACCACAACCCCAGACACAACCCCAGCCACAACCCCAGCCACAACCTTAGCCACAACCACAACCCCAGCCCCAAACCCATCGCGAACCACAACCAACCCACCCCGATGCCCCATGGGGGTCGTCCCTACCAACGTTCACACACTCACACACACACACGCACGTGAGTGAGTGCGTGTGTGTGCGTGTGTGGCGTTTGGCTGGCTCACGGCAGACCTGGCTGGGACGTTCGATTGCAGTCGCAGATTGCGTACAGTATTAGTGACGAGCGATTCTTCTGATCCCTTGCTACGGCTGACGTAGACGCAGCGCAACAACTACAATCTCGCATTCAGGTGGTCGGGCCAGGCAACCGCTGTCGGGGGGGCAGCGGAGCAGCGTGTCGCCGTGATGCCTCCTTTGTGTCTGTGGATCGGGTCGTTGCGTCGCTGTATTGTTGCACGGTCTGGTCTGGATGACCACAGTGGTGTACGTATGCACGCCGATCTTCCTTAGCAACTTACCTTGCACCTGGGTGTGGGCAGGTAATATAATCGGTCCAGGGTGGATATGTGACGGTCGGATGGATGCGTGCCGACGGTTTACCGAACGGCGTTTGGACCTCCGGTGGTGGTTCCGAGGTGATCCTGCTGAAACTGAAATCTATTTTTATTTTACCAGGTCAGGGCCCACTTTGACCTACGTGGCTCTTTTTCCCAAGTGACCTGGCAATCGCGAATGATGGCCCAGCGGGAAGTGGCTTTTCACATCGTGGAAATTTATAGCAGAAAGCCAGATACCCCTCCGAACGCGCGTTTCTTGAAAGTCTTGCCCACAGGTTTCCGTCCGCGATACGGCGACCCAGAGTTCGCGCAAACGACGGTCGCCCCTTTTTAGCCTTTGTCCTGGGGAGCGGAAACCGCATCGCACCGTTGCGGTTTCCGCTGGATCCCGCTCGGCACGTCCGCGTGACAGCTCCAGCCGGACCGGACTCGCGTGCTGCCGGCGTCGGGGGGTGGGTGGGCGGGGGGGGGGTGGTACGGGGGGTGCTCAGCGTTCAACGTCGGGCCGAAGCAAATTTCTCGCCTCAGGAACGAGCACCGAGGCGGAAACTCGACGTTCCTATGGCGGGGGCGGTGGGGGGGGTAGGAAGGGGGGCGCGGCGAGTCTTGCCATAGGGCAACCACCGCTGACTCGCCGACATCCCGATGCTCGTGTTGACTCCGGAGGGAGAGATGATGATGATGATGATGGTGCCGAGTCTGGCCCCTTTCCACCTTCCCCCGACCAGGATTTGAACTCGCAGTCTTCGAAATTGCGAGTGGTCGTCCTTCGGATGCACTTGCACCTGCCGCAGGAATGTGGAAACTTCGCCGCGGGCCTCAGGCTGTCAACGGGAGACCGGCGCCACCTCGCTGTTCGTTTGAGCAGGAAATCACGCCGGCGTTTGACGAGCACGCAAATCCGGCTCGCGCCAATGTTTGGACACGCCCCTGTCCGCGTTGGGCGCCCTGACGCCAGCGTCATACCCTCGTGTGTGTGTGTGTGTGTACGCGCGCGCGCGCGTGTGTCCGTGTTGTTGGCAGGTCAGTCGTACGAGTTGAGAATGCTGGATAACAGGAAGATGGGAGAACTCCCGGAGATCAACGGCAAATATGTCAAGGTGTGGGAGCAACGGCCGCGCGAATGTCATTGCCGCGGAGCAGTCCGTTCGGTGACGTTGCTTTGACGCATCCCCCGGGTGTCCCCTTGCACAGAGGCCAGGCCCGCCGCCCGCCAGGCGCGCGACTGCCAGCGGCTCATCGCCCCCACCGTGGGTCGCAGCTGCCCGCTCGAATTACGAGGTCGGCCTCAGCCGTCACGTTTTAAATGGCCTCCTGCGTTGGCAACGCGCGCGGCCGCGAGCGACGTTAGCTGGCGCTGCGCTGTGGCCGTTGAATGACACGTGGCACCCAAGCGTCGTCGTTCAATGACGATGACGATGTCGGTGACGTCGTCGTTTATTACCAGAATGGGCATCTTCGTTTAGGCTGGAGGAGGAATCCAATGAGCTGTGAAGCTGTTTTTTTTGGGGTTTCACAGATGTCCAGTTTGGGCGAGTTGGGCAAGTTTTACAACAATTCTAGATTTACAACAGCGGCAGACGATGGCAAAAAGATTTACAACAGCGGCAGACGATGGCTGAAAACGATAGGAGTGCAAAATAAGTTGAAAATGGTAAAGTTAGTTACTAACTGTAAATAACTAATGCGATACTTATTTTTCGATTTAAAGCTTTCGTGACTGCAGGGATTCATCTTCTTGGTTCTTTCGGTAAAGTCACGTAGAATGGAAACAATAAAATAATAAAAATAAAACATAATAAAATAAAATTCTCACGACGTTTCGGCCACAACACAAGTAGCCTTCTTCAGGTGAAGAAACAGGTGAGAATTTTATTTGTATTATTTTAGTTCCATTCTACGTGACTTTACCAAAAGAACCAAGAAGATGAATACTTATTTTGTTTATACCGCACCTCCCATTCAGCGCATCTCGAGGCAGCAGAACCGAGGAGGAGTTTTGAGATTATTACCCCACAACCCACAGTCAATAAACACGCTATTATTTTAAGGGAACGGGCCAAGCATCCTTAAACTTAAACTATTTTGTATGTTACAAGGTGAGGCCAACTGAGCGATGTAGCGCTTTTTCAGAAGCGATCTGGCTATCACAAATGATAGCTCAACAAATCGGCTTATCATCATCATCACGTGGAAATTGATAGTAGCAGTCAAAATACTCTGAACGCGTGTCTAGTCGAGAAAAAATCCACACGAGCACGTGGACAGAGAGAGAGAGAGAGGGACACCGCAAACTCCCGAGTATACAACAGGCCTAAGGGTCGGGATGGAACCCACGGCCTCCTGTAGACCGGGCGAGGGGGTTAACATCTCCGAGCCTTGAGACCCAACAAAGCTTTCCCTGGGTAATCAAGCGGCAAATAATTACGGCACGAAGGCAGGGGTGGTCGGTGCACGCTTCGTGTTGGCTGCGAACGCGACGCACGCCGTAATAGAGGGTTTTTTTTTTGGGGGGTGGGGGGGGGTCTAGATCTTGTGAATATAATGCGTCGTTAAACCCGCCGCCAACCCGATGCTATTTAGTCGCCAAAAGCCTTTCCGCGTTTAAACCGGCGACGGGCGCGCCGTTGCGTCCGCCGCGCCTGCGCCTTCGCCTGCGGGCCACCGTCAGACCGGCGCTGTCTCTCCCTCTCCCTCTCCCGCCGGCGTTGGCAGAGCATCGTGCGCGTGGTGTTTCACGACCGCCGCCTGCAGTACACGGAGCACCAGCAGCTCGAGAGCTGGAAGTGGAACCGCCCCGGGGATCGCATCCTCGATATCGGTGAGCCCGGCCCTATCGCGCTCGTGCCTGTTGATTTATTCAGTGGCTTTTCTATTTATTTTACACGTGTATTTTTCACGGGGTTAAGTGCGGTCAAAATCTTCTCGTCCTCCCAAGCATCTTCTCTCCTCGCAGCCCGCCCGGTGGCGAGCATCTTAAACCCGTTCCGGTGACGTACCCGTACGTACGTCATCGGAACGGAATGGGAAGAAAAATAAATTTAAATTTTATCGCCGCCGAGGCTCCCACAAGGCCATGCGGGACAGGGAGGGCGTGTGGCACTGTGTTGGCGCCAGCTATCGTAGAGCGCGGTCGTGTCGCTACGGTTCTCCGCGGTGAGTAAACAATGCCTTTAAAAAGAACTGCGCCTGGCATCAACAACGACCGTGGGTGTCTTTGCAGTGACAGGAGCGACACTGACCGTGAAGGTTTTTGTAATTGCCTATTTGCTCCCCTCCTCCCCCTGTGGAGCCGGGCGGCTCGCAATCTTAAGCTTGCGAGTTCAATTCCTGATTGGGGTTTGTTGACTCGCCCCATCGTTCCCCTGTGGATCGATATAACGGGGTAACCACTTTGTGGGACGGGGGGGGGTGGCGGGTGGAGGTGGGAAAGTAAACTTATGGGAAGACCAACACCCGCCATAGGAATGAGGAATTTCCACCACGGGATCAGGCGGGGGTGGAGGGAGGGTTTGTAACCGGGAGATGAGCACAGCCTCCGTGAAAAGCTGCTCAGAAATGTACTCACCACAACTGCTGTGTGCTTCAAGGAGGGGAGTGTGACGCGGTGGGGGGAGGGGGGGTGGTCGTTGTGAACGCAACCCTCGTGTTGTCACTGGGGGGGGTGGTGCGCCTCTGCCCACAGACATGCCGATGTCCGTGGGCATCGTGGACCCGAGGGCCAACCCGACGCTTCTCAACACCGTGGAGTTCCTGTGGGACCCTGCCAAGCGCTCGTCCGTCTTCATCCAGGTGGGAAGAGAGGCCCTCGCCTCGGCACTCGTCGACAGAAGCAACTACGGAGAAGAACCACGGGGTCACCTTCCGTTGGGCGGAGGGCCCGTCATCCGGCGGTGGATAGCCGGTGCGGTGGCGGCGGCTGCCCCGCGGCTGCCCCGCGGCTGCCCCGCGGCTGCCCCGCGGCTGCCCCGCGGCTGCCCCGCGGCTGCCCCGCGGCTGCCCCGCGGCTGCCCCGCGGCTGCCCGCAATCCAGGCCCTGTGGAGGCGGTGGTAGCAGCGCGGGCTTCCTGTGGGCGTCGGTGAGGTTGCCCGTACCCTGGCTCGCCGCTGGAAGGCGGTGCAGCAATGATGTGGACTCGACCTGCTCCGCCTGTGTGCGATCGAGTGTTTCCCCCTCGCGCACGCGTGCGTTTTCTCCGCTATGTACACACTCATTGATTGGCCGGTAGCGCCTTAATATGCAGAGGACTGCAGAGCTTGGACAATTGTTGACGCCGGTTCGGCCCGCCTTCTCGTGCCCCCCCCCCCCGTCACCCCCCCCACCGCCCCCCTCCCGTGAATCGTTAAATTGTAATTATTTCATTTTGATTGCGTCGTATTTCATCGCTTGTCGCACCACCCGCGTTGGTGTGTGCGCGCGTGTGTGCCGCGGCCGCAAAGATCCCACCGTGTAGCCTTAACAGACTGTTGGGGCAAGTGCCGTTGGCGAGCACCGCCTACGAAGGCCGGCACGGCACACGATGGGGTAGGTGGCCAGGACCACGCCCGGGAGCGGTCGTGTCGCGGTCAGCGCCCTGCGCTGCGAGCCCGGCGACCCGGAGTTCGATTCCCGCTCAAAGGCCAACACCGGTGAACCGGTCCCGGGCCTCCCCTAGGTCGACTCGGCCCCTATACGTGCTAGTCTCGCTAACAGCACTTGCCCCGACATTCCGTTAAAGGCCACACGGGATCTTTGTCGTTTGTGCCCCCGCCGCCAAGGTGAACTGCATCAGCACGGAGTTCACGCCCCGGAAGCACGGGGGCGAGAAGGGAGTGCCGTTCCGCGTTCAGATCGACACGTTCAAGCAGAATGACGGCGGGGAGTACACGGAGCACCTGCACTCGGCCAGCTGCCAAGTCAAGGTCTTCAAGGTGCCCGCGTCGCCACGCGTCCCACTGACGTTGCGCGCGTTCCGCGGTGCCGTGCCAAGGTTTGCCGCGCCACGGCGATGCCGCAGCATGCAAGCGCGGTGAACTTCTTTCGCGCCGTACGTAGGCAACCGTAGCTAATCGGAGGTGGCGGTGGCGGTGGGGGGGGGGGGGCGGAAGGGCAACAAACCAACGCACTAAAAGCGGTTCTAAAGAAATTTGTTTTCATTCGAGGTGATTGAAAAGTGCATGGCTCCCAGTAGCTTCCTAGTATCGGAGAGAAGAGAGCGGTCCAGACGGCCGCAGAAGCGAACCCGAAAGCGCGCGACACGGTCAGCCGTCTTTGTCCGTGGGTTAGCCAAAGCCGCTGCCGCTGCGCGGATGACCGCCGGAGTTTGCGGTGATGATGGTTTATGCGCCTTGGCGAGATCAGCGAGGTATCGATCTTCCGATTTCAGATCGCCCGTGAAGCGATAAAAAATCCCGTGTAGCTGGACTCGTAGCACGGGAGAAGCTGGTCCCGGCTTGCTGACGAGGGGCGCTGCGGTGGCTAGGAGATGTTAGCTCCCACGCCTGGTATGCAGGAGGTCGTGGGTTCGATCCCGACCCTGACAATGCCCTGTATATTCGGAGTTTGTGTGTCTCTCTCATCATCATCATCACGGTGGCCAGGAGATGTTAGCTCCCACGCCTGGTATGCAGGAGGTCGTGGGTTCGATCCCGACCCTGACAATGCCCTGTATATTCGGAGTTTGCGTGTCTCTCTCATCATCATCATCACGGTGGCTAGGAGATGTTAGCTCCCACGCCTGGTATGCAGGAGGTCGTGGGTTCGATCCCGACCCTGACAATGCCCTGTATATTCGGAGTTTGCGTGTCTCTCTCATCATCATCATCATCATCACGGTGGTCAGGAGATGTCAACTCCCTCGCCTGGTATGCAGGAGGTCGTGGGTTCGATCCCGACCCTGACAATGCCCTGTATATTCGGAGTTTGCGTGTCTCTCTCATCATCATCACGGTGGCCAGGAGATGTCAACTCCCTCGCCTGGTATGCAGGAGGCCGTGGGTTCGATCCAGACCCTGACAATGCCCTGTTTATTCGGAGTTTGCGTGTCTCTCTCTCTCTCCCTGTTGTTTGCGTGGATTTTTCTCCGGGTCTTCCGGTTTTACCCTGCAGATTTAGAAACGCGCTCCTAGAGTATTTGCCTGCGACTATAGATTTCCACGTGATAAGCCACTTCTCGGTGAGCTATCATTTGTGATGGCCAGGTCGCTTCGAAAAAAAGAGCTATACAGCTCCAGTGGGCCTTACCTGGTAAAAGAAAAAAAATAAAAATCGTTTGCTTTTTTAAAGTCTGGCTCGCCACGACTTCCTATAATTCCACGTCAAAATACAATACGCGTCGTCTGTACGTGTACGTACCAAACTTGCGTTGCGGCAGTCCCACCACCCCACCCCCCTCCCCGCGGTTGGGGGGGGGGGTGGGAAGGACACCCATTGATCTGCCGAGCTCTCGCTTGAGGTTGGCCTAGTCGCGTCTTCGGCCGCCGCCGATGGCCCTCCCCCCCTCCCCCCCCCGTGTCTGATCGTTGTGACCTCTCAGCCGAAAGGTGCGGATAGGAAACAAAAGACGGACCGAGATAAGATGGAGAAACGGACGCCGCTGGAGAAGGAGAAATACCAGCTGTCCTACGACACCACCATCCTCACCGAGGTGAGCCCCGCGGGGGGGGGAGACCTTTCTGTCGCGTTGTTCCTGGCAGCTGCCTGGCCGTGGCTCTTGCCGGCTCGCGAGTTGCCACACTGTGTTTGCAGGTCTCTTCGTTGTGTTCGCAATGAAGGTGGAGCCAGAGCTGCGTGTAATTTGGCAAGCAAAAAATAATTTGCGTACACCATCTCGCCGTATAAATGCAGGCCTGAGACTCCTGCTCCCCTCCCTCCCTCCCTGCCTCCCTCCCTCTCATTTTTTTTACATTCATTCATATATCTTGTCGAGTACTGAAGTCCTCTTTTAGTCCATGGACCCGATTCAATTGAATTGCTTAGTTTCCACTCCAACGCTCGAGTTGTGCCCGGCGTCTTTTAAATCGCCGGTAGTAAAAAAAAAAGAAAAAGCGACGCCGATCATCACGTGCCGTGAGTTTTATGAATCGCGCCTCAATTTTGATGAGAGAGCGGCGGCGGTGCGGGGGCGGCAAGTGCAGCGGTGACGCTCGCCCCCCGGTTTCGATTCCCCACTCTGGCGCTTTGCCTGTGCGGAGTTTGTACGTCCTCTCTTCCCTGCCCGTCCTGCGGTGGCTTTCCTTCCGGCTTCTCCGGTTTCTTCCCCAAAGCTAAAAAAAAAGAAAACCAAACTCCCCTTTGACAACGTCTAACCCCGGTATTGGCCAAAAACGAAACACGCCGGGAAAAAAATGACGTGCAGATGTACTCGGTTGAGATTTCCATGGAGCAGCAGCAGCAGCAGCACTCGCTTAGGGCCAGGACCTTCTTGAAAAGAAGCCGTGAGACTCTGTGAGGCTTTCTTTGGTAAACAAGCTTGCTAATAGTAATAATAATCCGCGTGGTATACAATACACATCGTAGGAGCCACACACACAGTGGCACATCAATAAATATTTTTGTCCGCCTCTTGCGATGTCCGAATTACGCTCTGGTCCATGGACTATTTTGACAACATTTTTTTTCCCCTGTAGCCTCTTCTCATGAACGACCGCAAACATTTTTTAGAACTTGCTTTTTGGTATTTAGTTTGTCGTCCTTCCCCCGCACCTCCGATTAGCACGTTCGACCACGCCCGGTGCCAAAGAAGTTCATCGCGCACACGCACGCGCCACTCCTTGACGATTAAGACCTGCCATATACCCGTAACGCACATGTCTCATCTTTTAAAATATATATTATGATTATTATTCCTGTGCTTGTTTAAAGCCTCACCGAATTGCATGACTCTCTTTCAGGAGGGGGTCCTGCCAGGTTTTCGCAGAAGGGGGGGTGGCACGGGGAGGGGGGGGGCGGGGCGGGGCGGGGCTGGGCGGGTTTGATGGTTGCTGCGTGTAATTCCGATTGAATAAAAGTGAGCGTGCATTTCACATTTTTCGTTGGCGAACGACGTCACGGGGAGAGGGATCTTTTTTTTAAACGTCCACTGCGAGTGAAGCAGGCGGCGGGCAGCGTCTACAGGGCGATCCCACGCCGCCGCAGTATTGACCAGGGCGGCGGCTGGAGCCGAACCACGAGCCTCCGCAGCTAACAGCTGGGCCGTGTCGTCGCCACCACCCCCCCCCCCCACCCTCCCCCGATATGAATCCTGGGCATATTGCAAAACTAACCTCGCGCTATTGTATATTTTCAAGCGCTTTTGTTATACGCCCCGCCAGCGACGTACTGGGGCAAAAAGTGCGTGCGTTTGATTAAATTGAGCCAACGGGGCTCCACCAAAAAAGCTGATTATAGTTGCGTGATCTCGAGGCCACGCAGCCTTCCTCTTTGCATTCGTGTCCCTGTTTAGACTGAAGCCACGGTGAGTTTCAAGACGGTCCCCTGCAAGTTCCCTCCCATCCCATGTGATCATCTCCCTGCCCCCCCCCCGTCACCCCTCCCCCGCCGCCATCCCCTCGCCCCCACCCCCATCACACCCCTTATCCCCACTTTTACCTCCAAAACCATGCACTCGCATGCTAGGCGTCCTCAGCCAGAACTGGGGAAGTATGGTTGTGGGGGTGACCCCCACCCCCCCCCCCCCCTATCCACCCCTTGCACTCCTCACATTGTAGGGATGTGTTTTTCGATTTTGGTTCATGCGAAAATCTGGACTGGATCTCACAATTTGGAACGATCCGCAGAATATTGTATTTTTTTTGAGGGGGGGGGTTTTGCTATCCGATCGATCCGCAATCCGGAGTTGACGTCTGCGCTTTTTCCTGCCAAAAACGTGGTGGGGAATCACGTGACGTCGACGCTGTTGACGTGCGGGTATGTAAATATATAAATATAAAAACGAGTAAGTGATGTATAATTAGTTTATTTTGGATTGTGTCGTCGCGAAGATGTCGACTACCTCGCCCGGTATACAGGAGGTTATGGGTTCGATCCTGACCCGGACGCCCGCTGTCAATTTGGGGCTTCCACGTTCTCCCCGTGGCCGCGTGGACTTTTCTCCGGGTCCTCCGGTTTTTTCCCTCCACAGTTACGAGCACGCGTTGAGAGTGTTTTGGCTGCTGTACAATTTCCGCGTGACGAGAAGCCACTTCGTTGAGCCGCCATTTGTGGCCGGGTCGCTTCTGAAAAAGAGCCACGCAGCCCGGTGGGCCTTTGTTAACTTACGTGACCCATCCACCACCCAGCGAGACACGGCCAAAATCAAATCGAGATGTCGCGTGTGCACGTGGGCAAGTTTGAACGCCTTTGGCGCACCGTGCTTCGCCAAACCGTGCTTATCGGAGGTGCGGGGCAACACGTGCCAATTGATTTGGCTTACCAGCAAAACCGCATGGAGGGAGGCGGAACGTTGAAAAACGTTCAAAATTTATTTGGCGTTTAGCGAGAAATTGCACCCACCATCTTTCGGCGCTCGCAAGGGCTCGGGCTCTCGGTCGAGCACGTTTGCCCCACGCACAGTGCTGAAACGCAACATTCCCCGTTTTTTTTTTTGCCGGTCAGACCAAATCAATCGGCACGCATTTGCCCACGCGACGTGACAACTCGACTCGATCGGCTCTTTCTTGTCCGGGGCGGTGGAGGGCCATCGTGTAAAAACAGCAACTCTACGCCGTGCCTACGCGACGGTCCAACCCGAAATAAATTCTAGTTGTGAATCGTGATGTCGGTCGTGGGGAAAAAAAAACCCCACGTGACAATGGTACTGAAAAGTAGTTTTTTTTTTTTTAAACCCCCCCCCCCCCCCCCAAAAAATTTCAAATCCTGAAACCCATCCCTACGGTGGAGGCTTTGTGGAGGCGGCGCTATCGGCGTCCGCAGCGAACGTAAAACGTCGCCACGGTCGCCGCGCCTTGGACCGCACGAACGACCGCTCACCGCGTTGCATAACCCAACGTGTGATTATTATTTTTTTTTGTTTTGTTAAATCGGGTTGGGGGTCCGCGCAGCGACCCTCTGGCGCCATCACCGAAGAGGTGCGTTCGATAACGTCAGGTTACCTTGCTTCCCTGTGCGGTGGTGTCTGGTGTCTCCAGATGAAACGGGCCGGCACTAATGGCGGAGACGCGCATGAGAATGAGCTGAAAAAATCGACTAAGAGGACTATGCTAGGCGAAGTCGGGGATTATCATGCAAAGAGAGGCAGTTCTGTAAGCCCCCCCTCCCCTTCCCCCCACCGCCCCACCCTCACCCACCGCCCCCAGCCCCCCCCCCCCCCACCTTCCTCTTCATTATACGACACTGACACGTTATTTGGCTTGTGATCGGAAGCACCTTGGGTCGTTGAAGGGTGTTCAGGAGCTGTGCCCGTGCGATTTGGCCGCGCTCCGTTGACCGTGTCCGAGCGGACTCTTGCCAGGATGAACGACGACGTTAATAACGAGGTTAATGGGGCTCCGTGGTGACGAGGAGATGTTAACTACCTCGCCCGGTATGCAGGAGGTTGCGGGTTCGACCCGGACCCTTGACGCCTGCTGTAATATTTGAAGTTTGCGTGTCTTTCTCTCTCCCCATGGTCGCGTGTGGATTTTGTTCCGGGTCCTCCCGTTTTTCCCGCAGCATTTTAGAATTGACGTCGCGCCCTTAACCTTAAGAGTATATTTGGCTGCTCTTAAATGTCCGCACGACTGTCAGATACGTCTCGGCGAGCTATTATCTGTGAGAGACGGGGTCTCTTCTGATACAAAATAAGCTGCGGGGAACTTACCCGCTGAAATTTAAATTATAGTTTAATCATAAAATGCCGTGACTCGCTTTTGCAGGTCTTTATCTCCCAGTAGTCGGACTAAGAGGTGAGAGATAAAGGCACAGCCCCCCACAATTCCTTTTGCTGGTGCTGCTGCTGCCTCACCGTGGAAGGGGGCCCGCTGGATCCCCCTCCAGCGGGGGGGGGGGGCGGTGGCCCTTCTGCCAGCAGTGACACGAGTGGGCACTTGCAGGGCCTTCTCTGCCGTGCTGTTGACGATGCAAGGCGCTCGGTTTACGGGAAGGCGTTCGTTCTCCGCACGTCTCTCTCCGCTGTCTGCGATTTATTTTTATTTTTTTTGGTCACGCGGTCGATGCGGCAGTTGGGGGGGGGGGTTGCGAGAAAAAAAAAAGGCTTGAAAATAATTACCGTGTTCTCTGGATTATAAGGTACTCCGGGAAGTATGGCAGCACCGTAAAGTTTGTTTCAATAAAGTTGTACAATTCTGTTCGCGCGCACACACGACACACACGACACACCTACCGGGTTGCATAAGATGCCAACCACTCAACTTTTTTCCGTAGAGGACTGCAGAGCTTGGGCGATTGCTGGATAGCGCCGGCACGCCTTTTCCTTTTCCCACGTGTCCGTGGTTCCCGTTCTTTCTTTCTCTGTCTCTCTCGGAGAGCGAGCGAATGCTGTGCAGCGTCACCGCCACACTCTTTGACACTTTATTATTATTATGATAGTGAGGTTTTGCTTTAAAAAAAAATTGTCCTTATAATCCGGAGAATATGACGTAACGCTGCACGAAGCCGATTTTTTTTTATTGTTTAAAGCGAAGAAAAAATCAGAACGCGACGAGTGCCGTGTGTTGGGAGATAAACCCGCAACAGAATCCACACGGTCGAGACGCGCAGTTTATTTTGCGCAAAAGAAAATCTGAGCGAAGAGCGCCTGGAAATTTTAGCCGCGGCCTCTCGCCAATGTGGCTCACGATCCGAGAGGGGGCAATCTTGAGGCCATGCAAAGCGACGGCGTTTAGTCTCGCAACGCGATTGTGAACCTTGCCCAGCGATTCCGTGTCCCCCGTTCATTGCACTGCACGAAGGCACAGCTCCCGTTTTAGTCGGAACGCATTTCTTACGCTCGTTGCCGCGTGCTGACGATGTTTTACGTGGGAATGCAAGAAGACCGGCGCTTGACGAATAACGTCTCAAACCTTACAACAAAAAATTTGGATCGAATCGGTGTTTTAAGAACGGTACGCGCGCAGCGATTTGTGATGCGGCATTACAAATCGCGTCGGTGGCGCGCGTGACATCCGAACCCGATCTTCTTGGGGGGGCCCCGCTCCTCCTCCCCCCTCACCCACGCCGAGCAGCGCCGGTGAAGTACGGCCAAACAACACACCTTCCCCGCCGTGACCACGCCTCGCCGCGCCGGCTGTCGCGGTCAAACGACTCCCGCGACCGGCGAGGCCTCCGTTCCGGCAGTCGTTTGGCAGAGCGGCTCTGCGCGTAATTCGGTAGAACGTGCAAAGAACGACGCTTGGAAGAACGCTTTTAACGCAACTGCCCACGGTCAGCCATCGGCACACACGCGCGCGCGGGCGTGCGACACGCGCGTCTCGCTTCTGCGAGTTGTTGTTGTTGTTGTTGTCGGCCAACGTCGTCGTTGTGAACGTCGTTGAACGTTACGTCGTCTCTCCTCTCTGCGCCCGCTTTGTTCACTTTGTTGTTGTTGGGGCGCTTCGACGGGCAGTGCTCGCCGTGGCCAGACACGACGTACCTCGACAACAGCCCCACCACCACGACGACGACGACGACGGTGACGGCGGTGGCGGCCACCAGCAGCTTCCAGCCGGCCACCTCATCCGCCGCACCCACCACCTTCGTCAACGACAGGTACGTGCGTGCGTGTGTGCGTGCGCGCGTGTTTGTGTGTGTTTGTGTGTGTGTGTGTTTGTGTGTGTTTGTGTGTGTGTGTTTGTGTGTGTTTGTGTGTGTGTGTTTGTGTGTGTGTGTGTGTTTGTGTGTGTGTGTGTTTGTGTGTGTGTGTGTTTGTGTGTGTGCGGTAGTGGAGCGGTTAGCGCGCTGCGCTACGAACCCAGCGAACCCGGGTTCGATTCCCGCTCACGGCCACCACCGGTGACGATTATCTGAGACGGTTACCTGGGCCTTCCCCTAGGTCGACTCGGCCTCAAATGAGTACCTGGTGCGGTGTGTAAACATCGTCACTAGGGAGACAAAGGCGGCCGGGCGTGGTGCTGGCCACCCACCCCCTCGTGTGCCGTGCCGGCCTTCATAGGTGCTCGCTTACAGCACTTGCCCCAACAGTCTGCTAACGCTATGGTACTGTGAGCTACTCCGCCCGCACTTCCGATTAGCACGGTTGGCTACGTAACGGCGCGAAAGACGTTCATCATCGTGCGTACATACGGGGAGGTGGGGAGGGGGGCCTCAGTGTTTTGGGATGTGTCGTAGTTGGCACAGTTAGGGGGCACGGGTGGTGCATTGGCCAGTGCACCTAAGTCGGTACGAATGGCACCTAGGTCTGCCCGGTGACCTCCTGCCGGCGGGCGTTCGACACTTTTTCACGCTGCTGTCAACGTGCACACAGCCTGGCACAAGCGCCGTGGTCACGTCACCGCCACTGAGTGGCGAATGCCGGTTGTCGTCACAGAGAAGAACTGGGGGAACGTGGTTTTGTTCATGATGCGTCTGCGAAAGTTCTTCGGCGCAACTCACGTAGGGGGGGTGGGGTGCTTGTTGTTGGTACGCCTGCCTTGCAGTGACTGCTCATCGCCAAACCACCAGAACGAGGTGTCCAATAACGCCATCCTCGAGGTACGTTCCAACGTAGGGGATTCGCACCGAAATCCCGCCCGTAAGATCGCATTGAATCGTTGGCGACTTCACGGAAAACGAGTACAGAGACTCCCTCTACTTACGGACGAGTTAGGTTCCAGATGTGTTGTTCGGAAGTCGATTTGTTCGCAAGTCCAACTTTACTCCCGTCGATTCCAAACACGTTGTACACTGAACACGGGAACTGGCTTTTAAAGTTACGTAATCTCATGTAGACGTAGATGCCACCGGTTCTTCACGTTCTGCATATGTAGATGCCACCGCCGCCATCTATTGCGAGGCGGCTGAACTTACGACTCGGTCCGAACAGGCCACTGAACATCCCGGCAGGTTTGTTCGTATCTCTGAAAGTTCGTAATTGTTCTTAAGTAGAGTAGTCCCTGTATATATGTTCACGGTACTTGTACACGAATCGAACAAGCAAGGCTGAACAGAACGTTCCAGACAGACTGTGCGTACGTGACCGCGCGAACGCGGAGAGATGATTGATTCTTCAACCGAATTGTGATCCCCCCAGAAAATGACGATGCTTTTTGTGTGTGCGTGTTAAGTGCAGCTCGTCATTGGCAGAGAACACGAAGGCCTTAAGCCTTGGGCGTAGGTTGTTGTCCTTCTCCCGCACCTCCGCTCTTAGCGTGGTTGGCTACGCACGGTGCGGAAGAAGTTCGACGTTACATGCATGAGTACACATACGAAGGCGTCGGGCGTCGGATCGTCGCAGGCATTACCGCGCCGGTCGAAGATTGTAACTGCAGTTGGGACGAATTTGAAAGTCTAAACGTCGCGCACCCAAAACGTGTGGTCCGTTTTTTTTTTAACTCGGCAAGTGAAACACCGCGTGGGCTTATGTTCGATCGTGTACTCGTGGATGATTTGTTTACCTTGTTCTTTGAACTGCTGTCGTATTTTTTTTATTGTTCTGACCCCGTGCCCCTGCTTGGACATCTGTGAACAAGAGCTTTACAGTAGAAGCCCTCTTAACGACGGTAATTGGTTCCACGAAACCGATCGTTAAGCGATGTTTGGTCGCTTAAGCGAGTATAGGAAAAGGCTTGGTTCGTTCCGGAAAAGGCTTGGTTCGTCCCTAAAAAAAAAAAGACGTTATAATATTCAAGCAATGGATATTGATACATAAAGATACAACATAAACACGTAATGTTAAAATAAACATGGTTAATGCGTTAATTAATGTTTACTGTACCTACAATAGTCCGTCGTTTACAGGGGAATGGTCGGTAAGCGAACACATTGGGCGCTATGGAGGCATTAAACTACACTATACACTACACTCTACACTACTATACACTACACTATACACTATACTACTATACACTACACTCTACACTATACTACTATACACTACACTCTACACTATACTATACACTACACTATACACTACACTACTATACACTACACTATACACTACACTACTATACACTACACTACTATACACTACACTACTATACACTACACTACTATACACTACACTCTACACTACTATACACTACACTATACACTACACTACTATACACTACACTACTATACACTACACTACTATACACTACACTACTATAGACTACAATACACTACACCACTATACACTACTATACACTACACTACTATACACTACACTACTATACACTACACCACTATACACTACACCGCTATACACTACACTGCTATACACTAGACTACTATACACTGCACTACTATACACTGCACTACTATACACTACACTACTATACACTGCACTACTATACACTACACTACTGTACACTACACTACTATACACTACACTAGTATAAACTACAGTACTATACACTACACACTACACTACACACTACACTATACACTGCACTATACACTACACTATACACTACTATTCACTACACTATTCACTACACTATACACTACACTATACACCACTATACACTACACTATACACTACTATACACTGCACTATACACTGCACTATACACTGCACTATACACTGCACTATACACTGCACTATACACTGCACTATACACTACACTATACACTACACTATACACTACACTATACACTACACATTGGGCTCTGTGGAGGCCCGTGGCGAAGTGATTCATCCTCGACAGAGGTGCTCGTCAGGAGGGGTTCTACTGTGTAGCTCATCAGACTCTTCCGTTGTGTCTAAATATTCTCATTCTAAGTCTGCAATTTGTCCCTGGCAGCAGCAGAAGCTGTCGCCTACGGCCACAATCCAAGAGATGCAGCAGTGGCTGCACCAACACCGTTTCTCCAGTTTCAGTCGCCTCTTCTCAAACTTCACAGGTCCGTTTATGTATATACATTTAAAAAGCAAAGACGAAGGTCTTGATTTGAAGCTTTCGTGACTGCAGGGATCCATACTCTCTGCTTCTTTCGGTAAAGTTACATAGGTAGAAAAATTTATAGAAGAAAACACGACGTTTCGGTCGCAAAAACAAGCGTCCTTCTTCAGGTGAAGACGGACACAAATCTCCCCGTAAAGCCTTTGACAGACTGTTGGGGCAAGTGCCGTTAGCGAGTAGCAGCACCTAATGAAGGCAGGCACGGCACACGAGGGGGTGGGTGGGCCAGCACCACGCCTTTGTCTCCCCTGTGGCGATGTTTACACGCTGCACCAGGTACTCATTTGAGGCTGAGTCCACCTAGGGGAGGCCTTTGGACCGATTGGGATAATCGTCACTGGAGCAGGAATCGAACTCGGGTCGCCGGCAATGGGGGAGCCAGAATTTTCAGGTAGTACGGGGGGCAACCCCTCCAGCAATGAAAACTGATAGAGGAGTTGTTAGTAAGTAAAGGACTTGTCCCTTGATTTTTATTCGACGAGTGTGCGGCGATGACGCAGCCATCGATCGAGGGGTCGAATTGGAACCGCGTTGTTAGTGATCGGCATCGCGCTCGCTGAAGGTGTCGATGCCTTCAGGGAAGTCGTGGACTCTGTAGACGCAACTGCGCGCAATTCTGTGAGTCACTTATAACCGCTTTGCCGTTACTTATCGCCAATTATGGACTCAGACTATTGTCCTATCATCTCATAGAGTCCCTGGCACGTAATAAAATGCTACACAGTGGCAGTGGGGGTCGCAAAATGCTGATTTATTACTAATAAATCCAAATTATCCGATCGAAATTAGGGATTTAGATCGGATCATTGGGGGGGGGCACGTGCCACCCCACCCCCCCCCCTACTGGCTCTGCCAGTGGTCGCCGGGTTCGTAGCGCGGCGCGCTAATCGCTACCCGACCGCTCCCCGCCATATATCTATACAAACGCACAACCCCCCCTTTCGCACCTCCCGATTACCACAGTTGGCTACGTACGGTGCGAACCAAGTTCAGCATGCATCCAACATGGCAAAGTCACCCGCCGCTACCACGGGGAAGGTTCTTGAAGGCAGTGCTACGGCAAAGGCCCAGGTGGTGTAGCGCCCGCGGTACTTTCGCAGTTATACGAAAGTGAGAACCTCACTGTTGGCAAACTGGGATAGACGAACTCGCCAATGCCATTTCAGTGGCCGATCCAAGCTGCCCCCCTCCCCCGCCTTACGTCCACACACATCCCGCCCCCTCCCCCCTCCATCTGGTGACACGAAATAAACTCGGACCTTGAACTTGCTCACTCAGAAATCTCACTCTTTAAATGAGTCGCTCGCCCACCATCTCGTCCGCTCATGCGCCCGCTCGTCCGTCCGCTCGTCCGCCCGCTCATCCCCACCGCTCGTCCGCCCGCTCATCCGCCCGCTCATCCGCCCGCTCGTCCGCCCGCTCATCCCCCCCGCTCGTCCCTCCGCTCGTCCGCCCGCTCGTCCGCTCGCTCATCCGCCCGCTCTTGAAAGTGCGGCTGCTAACCTCGTCCCTTGAGCACCGCCTGGTCAAACGGGTGGCGAGATGTTAACGACCTTGCCTGGTGTTACTGAGGTCGTGGGTTTGATCTCGACCCTTGACGCCTGCTGGCGTATGTGGAGTTTGCGTGTCTCTCTCCCCGTGGTCGCGTGGATTTTTCTCCGGTTCCTCCGGTGGTGTTTCCCTCCACATTTAGAATCGGCGTGCGTTTAAGAGTATTTGGCTGCTATAAATGTCCACACGGTGACGATGTGGGATAGCCAGGTCGCTTCTGAAAAAGAGCTATACAGCTCAGTGTGGGGGCCTTACCTGCTAAAACTAAAATAGTTCCATATTCTTGGTTCTTTCGGTAAAGTCACATACAAGGAAAACAATAAAATAACAAAAATATAAAAAATTAAATTATCACGACGTTTCGACCGCAACACAAGCAGTCATCATCAGGTGATTGTGTTGCTGCCTTACCTGCTAAAATTAAAATAGTTTCAAATTCTTGGTTCTGTCGGTAAAGTCACGTAGAAGGAAAACAATAAAATAATAAAAATATAAAACAATAAAATTATCACGACGTTTCGACTGCAACACAAGCAATCATCATCAGGTGATTGTCGAAACGTCGTGATAATTTTATCGTTTTATATTTTTATTATTTTACTGTTTCCCTTCTACGTGACTTTACCAAAAGAACCAAGAATATGAATCCCCTGCAGTCACGAAAGCTTTAAATAAAAAAAAGAAGTAGTTTAATCGTTTTGTTTTTTCTTTCATAGCTGTAAACAAAATACAATTTGGGGAATGGAACCCTGGCCTGAGTTCGCGTCCGCACGGGTAACGCCGTTGGTTCTTCGGGCACCTCTAGATTTAGATTTAAAGGAGGCGACCTGCGCTTGACTTTTTTTCACTACAACGCTGTCCTCCAGACCGGTTGGTCCCTTCACCTGATGAAGGCCACTTGTGTTGTGGTAGAAACGTCGTGATTTTTGTTATTTTATTTTTTACCTACGTGACTTTACCCAATAGAACCAAAGAGTATGGATCTTCGGGCACCGTCGATCAGGGTTCATTGTTTGACACGAGCCCGCCGATCTTCACGAGTCTCCTCCCATCAATCCGCTCCGTCCTATCTCGCCGTATCAGTGCCGTAAACCGGCTTCAAAAGACCCACATCGACTCCGGGCTACGGCCTGCGGGCTCGCGGAGACCTGCTCCTGCTGCTCCTGCCGCACGGCCCTGGCGCAGTTTTTCGGGGGGGGCGGTCTCCGGCCCAAAGGCCTGGCCCACACGCTACCAGGCTCCTGGTTCGGGATCCGTCCCTGAGCCCCGAGCCGGTATGCGCGACAGACTCCAAACGGCGTCGGCGTTGTTGTTGCTGCTGCCTCAGAGAGCCCACTTCAACGTGTGATCGGTGCGCGTTCGCGATGGACTGGACTCGTAAGAGCGTGCAATAACAAATGTCCTCGCTTGCTGTGCTGGACCGCCGCACGTGCAGGGGCGGACCTCCTCAAGCTGTCTCGAGATGACCTCATCCAGATCTGCGGTGCGGCCGATGGGATTAGGCTCTACAACGCCGTCAAGGCCAGGTAACTTGTTTCACAACACAGGGACGCCTCGACCTACGGACGAGTTAGGTTCCAGAGGTACTCTTTCGTAAGTCGATTTTGTTCGTTTAGTCCAACTTTACTCCTGTCGATTCCAAACGCGTTGTACGGCTTGTAACGTTGATGAATAATAACGTCAATAAGTTGGGCGGAACAATGGCGCAGAGTGGGAATACTCGCAGCGAGAATCTCCTGGGTTCGATTTCCGACTCTGGCATCGGCCACACATCCCAATGCTGAAACATTTACATGCAAAATTACCCAATCGTGTGTGCTCGTGTGTAAGCTATCAGCACTGGGGAGACAAAGGTGGCCGGGCGTTGTTTCTGGCCACAGTCCCCCCCCCCCCTCACCACCCCCTCGTGTGCCGTGCTGGTATTCATAGGTGCTGCTCGATTAACAGCACTTGCCCCAACAGTCTGCTAAGGCTTGACGGGGGAATCTCTGTCTCTTTGTCTGTTGAGCTTCTTTCGCACTGTACGTAGCCAATGGCGCTAATCGGAGGCGAGGGGGAAGGACAACAAACTAAACATAAAAATAACTTTACACAAATGTCAACCTAGATGATGATGATTAAAAAGTTGCATCGCTCCAGCGGCTTCCCAATATCGGAAGGAAGAGCGTTCCAGACGGCCGCAGAAGCGCACCCGAGAGTGCGAGATGCGGTGGCCGTCTTCGTTTGACTGTGCCGCCGTTGAAAGCTACACGGGGCGACCCTTGTCTCCCGCGTGTGCAGGTCGGTGCGCCCACGCCTCACCATGTACGTGTGCCAGGAGACGCAGCCGCCGAAGAAGGCCGCGGCGCAGACGCAGCCTTCGCAGGCCGTCACGGAAAACGGAGGCCCCCCGCACAGCGCCATCTACGGTGAGCTGAACCTCGCCCGCCCGCCCGCCCCGCCGTGGCGGGGTCGTCGGGACGGATGGCCGCGTGTGCGGTTAAAGACAAACCCAAAACTACCTCCGTTTTCGGGCGTGCGTTGGGACGGGCGTACGTACGAGACGAGGTGGAGCGGCGAGGTCGGATCGCGCGCGGGCGCTCGGTTTGGGGACCGGTCGCATCGCGGGATCGATGAGGAGTGGCGATGGCGGCTTGGGGGGGGGGGGGGGGGGGGGGGGGGGGGGGGGCAGAGCCTTCACCCCCGTAACGTTACGCTCCTCGCGGTCGGCGTGTGCGTGGCGTGTGCGTGGCGTGTGCGTGGCGTGTGCGTGTGCGTGTGCGTGGCGTGTGCGTGGCGTGTGCGTGTGCGTGTGCGTGGCGTGTGCGTGGCGTGTGCGTGGCGTGTGCGTGGCGTGTGCGTGTGGCGCGGCGTGTTCGCTCGCTCCAGTTTACCACGCGGTGTTCCTGGAGGAGCTGACGGCCGCGGAGCTCCAGGAGAAGCTCGCCACCCTCTTCAACATCTCCCCACGCCAGATCCAGCACATCTACCGGCAGGGCCCCACCGGCATACACGTCCTCATCAGCGACCAGGTGCGATGCCCTCCCCCCTCCCACCCACCACCCCTCCCTCCGCTCGCCGCCGAGATCGGTGCAGGCGGTGCAACCGACACCGTGGGAACCGCGCGGCCGGAGGAGGGGCTCCGAGCGGGAGAGGCGCCATTTCGTTCGTTGCAACGGGCCCCGTGCCCCAGCTGCCCTACGCCACTGACTCGCAGCCCACTCCGGTGTATTATCAACCCCGTGGTACGGACGGTGTCAGAGTGATTCGCCGCAGGGGAATATCGCTTCATTCACCCCGACCCCGCCCGCCCGCCCGACCGCTCCGTATGTCCCGATATAATGAATTGCCGCTGATTTCATTTTTAAAAATCTCATTATTTATTTGTGCTGTGTTAAATGTGGCTCCTCCCCCCCCCCCCCGCCCAATGTGAACCTACCGCTCCGTGGACACGAATCAATAACGACGTGATCCACGTCGCCACGGTCGGGTCGACGCGTCTCCGCAACCCCCCTCCCCTCCCCCCCCCCCCCCCCACGCGGCTCCCTCCTCCCAAGGGCGGCCGCGCGCCCTCCGTTGTAAATCGCTCGACGCGAATGTGGTCAAATACAGATCGATCGATCGACATTCTCTCGATCGAGGGAGGATGAGGGGGTTCACGCTCGCCACGTTCTGTTGAATGACGAACACCGCCCACGCGTTTGCGCTGGATCCGCGGTCGGTGGGCAGAGGGTGGGGGGGGGGGGGCGGAAAGGTGGAGGGGAATGGGGAGCCGGGGGGGGTGTGGAGGAGGGAGGGGGTTGAAGATGAGAGGGGCAGGGAAGGGGGGGGGGGGGCACCAACTGAGCAGGGTCCACGTGACCGGCGCTGCCATGCGGAGAGCCACGTCCCGGCAAAGAGCGGTTTTGTTGTCGGAACTTCTCTCGTCCCTCCCCCCTGCCCTCCCCCTGCCACCCCCCCTTGCCCCCCCCCTCCCCCCCCCACTGAACATCCGGAAAGACCACCACTGAGCCGTCTTCATCTCAAAAATGTCCTCTCAAACAAAATCCGCCAATTTCCTAGGGGACCGCTCGGTTCCTCCCAGCTCCTTCCGTCCCGGAGCCTCGGCAGTGCCTCCTCATTCCTACGAAGGGTGGGGGGGGGGGGTGAAGGTGGAAGGGGAAAGGGGGGGGGCGGGGGGTGGGGGGAAGGAGGTGTTAGGTTGTGGGGGGGGGGGGCAGGTGGGCGACGCACGAACCCGGCCCAGCACTGTGGACGCGGGGCCCGTGTGCCAGCCAGCCAGCCAGCAAAACTCCGTTTCCGGATACAGTTTGCCGACGAGCTTGTCTTCCCACGAAAGCCTCGCCGAGTCTCGTGGCTCGTTTGTTTCAGGAGGGTCCTGCCCCAATGTGCTTCGTAGTAGGGGGGGGGGCGGCCCGATGGCTGCTCTGTGGGATTGCCGCTCGAGTAACTTGTTGCTTCCTTGCAGATGGTACAAAATATCCCGGACGAGACGTGCTTTATCCTCGACACTCTGAAAGGTAACCCCCCCCCCCCCGCCGGCGCCCTCTGTTTCTCACAATCGTCAAACAATTACCATCTCTGTCTCTCTCTCTAAATCAGCTCAAGCCTCCACGGCTTCTGCGTGGCCACAGAAATTCCTTTTTCCCCTCTCATCTCTCGCATTATCGCTTTACCACTTAACCCTAAATTTTGATTTAAAGCTTTCGTGACTGCCGTTATTCATATTCTTAGCTCTTTCGGTAAAGTCACGTTGAAGGGAAACAATAAAATAATGAAATAAATATAAAACAAAAAAAATTTTCACGACGTTTCGACCATAACACAAATGGTCATCATCACCTCGTCAAACCTGATGACGACCGTTTGTGTTATGGTCGAAACGTCGTGAGAATTTTTATTGTTATATATATTTTATTATTTTATTGTTTCCCTTCAACGTGACTTTACCGAAAGAGCTAAGAATACACTTAACACTAATTAGGAACGCGTGTGTCAATTTCCTCCTCTCTTGCAGCGGAGAACACGGAGGGATACCACATAATATTAAAATGAGTCTGCGGGGACACGTTACTCTGCGACCGCAACCCCGTCCCCAGGAACAACTTGCCCGAGTCATCTCTCCGTCGTTACTGTAAGCTGTTTTTATTTTACCAGGTAAGGCCCACTAAGCTACATGTAGCTCCTTTGCAGAAGCGACACGGCAAGCGAACGATCGCTTCAACGGAGTGGCTGTTCACACGGAAATAGAGAGCAGCCAAGCACTCTTAAAACGCGTGACGTCAATTCTAAATGTGGAGGGGGAAAAACCCGGAGGAACCGAAAGAAAAATCCACGCGACCACGGGGAGAGAGCGAGAGAAGAAGACATTGCGTACTCCGAATACACAGCAGGCGTCAGGGTCGGGATCGAACCCACGACCTCCTGTAGACCAGGCGAAGGAGTTAACATCTCCGAGCCACCGTGGTGATGATGACGATGATGAGAGAGAGACACCGCAAACTCCAAATCTACAGCAGCAGCAGCAGCAGGCGTCAGGGTCGGGATCGAACCCACGACCTCCTGTATACCAGGCGAAGGAGTTAACGTCTCCGAGCCACCGTGATGATGATGACGATGATGAGAGAGAGACACCGCAAACTCCAAATCTACAGCAGCAGCAGCAGGCGTCAGGGTCGGGATCGAACCCACGACCTCCTGTAGAGCAGGCGAGGCAGTTAACGTCTCCTAGCCACCACTCAAGTGCCGCCGAACACACACACACAAACACACACACACAGGAGACCTGTGCCGGCGGAAAGCGGAGCGATTAGCACGAAGTGACCGAGCCCACCGGATTGTCAAGGCGCGCCGTCGCTCGGGTCGGCCCGCGCGGATCGCGCTCTCCCAAGGTCCGGTGACGGAAGCGAGGGGTGGAGGGGGGGTGGGGAGGAGGAGATTTTGGGGGGGTGGGGGGGGGGGGTGGGGGCTGCTTGGTGCTGACGCGTCAGCGGCGAGCTCGGCAATAGCGGCAACCGGCTTTGCGTTGGTGTCTCGTGCGCCCTCGCCCTCGCCTTCGCCCTCGCCGGAATTAACGGCAACAATTTGCCGCCCCCCCCGCCCACTGCTGGTGGGTGAAGGGAGCTCTAAACCGTGGTGAATCCATTCAACGCTGCCGGGGCGGACAGAGGCGGCCGGCGGTGGGGGAACGGTGGCGGGGGTGGGATTTTCTAAACCTTTTCGACGCCGTTCCAACTTTCGGACCGGTGAGCTCCGTCCGAATTTGCCGAAACCGCGAAGCCCCGCGGCGAGCGAGGCCATCGTCCGCCCGTGGCTGCGTTGCCAGACTCAGGTTGCGACTCGATTCCTGCTGCCGTTTCACAGTGCCAACAGCGCCTGTGTGCGCGCCATTGTTGCGTTCGAGAGAGCAAAAAAAAAAAAACCGGAAACGCAAGCCGGGTTTAAAAAAAAAAAACTAAAATATCCGTACCTCCGATTGCCACGGTTGGCTTACGTACGGTGGCGGAAGGAGTTCAGCGTGCATGCACCAACGGGAGCCGTATGAAAGCAACGTTCGGCGGTGACGCAACGAATTGCCTCGAAACGTGACGGAATGTAATCGGTTCGACGGAGTTCGTGGGAGCGTGTGCCGTTCTTCGGCAGCGCGTCGATAAATCGGCCGTTGCCCAAAAAAACTCCGCCTAGATTGTATTATTTTGTTAACACCCACCCACCCACCCGCCCCTCCCACTCCCGGGGCAAACCCTGGCGCGGGAGGCCCCCGGAGATGGATTATGGAGCCAAGACTTAAGACCCGGCTTGCACTATTTTGGGCTCCGGGTGCCCCGCCCGCCTGCACTCACGCCGCGACACGCGCCAACAGAGGAGCGAGTGCCCCCCCCCCCCCCCCCCCCCCCCCGAACGCAAAGAATGCCGAGTGACGCGCGGCGGTAAGACGTGGTACCGAAACCTGGATTTTCAACAACGTGGAATGTACAAAATAATTGTTCGACCTAGCGCGCCCGCCCTACGGGGCGCGGCGTCCGGCGCGCACCGCCACGGTTACGGCGCCCGTGTTTTTCTCGCAGCGTCGCCATGGGGAGAGACCGGTCCATGGCGACTCCTGCGGTCGTATTTTGTGTGCGATCCGCTCCGTGCGTTGTATCCCGCTGTCGCAACCCCCGGGCTGCCACGTGTGCACATGGGCGCGTGCGTTCGTTGACAATGCCGGGGGGGGATAGTTCAGGACGTGTGGTGCCGCTGTTTAAAATACGGCAACCCGGATCCCCGTTATTGCCGTGAAGTTGAAGTGCGGCTGGCCATTTGCATCGCGCACTATTATTTACACTTATTTAACAGTTTATACCGCTCCTGATGCTATTTTCGTCAAATCACTCGCCCGTTCTGGAGGACACACTCCATTGGGTCGCGCAGGACGAAGCTGGGCACTGCACCAACGATTGTTCGACTCCTTTCATCGCCGTCTCGCGAGCAACGTCGGAGATTCACGACGAGTTTTTTTTTAAATATATTTTTTTCCATGGCCGTCGGGTCGTCGTGTACATAAAAAAACGTGTGTTGCCAAACCCTCCTCCACCCGACGCGGCACTCTTTGACATTTTTTTAAACGGCGTGAGAGCGCTCTCCGACCACCACGGCGACGACGACGACGCCGGTGGCGGTGCTGCTGCTGCTGCTCCTGCTGCTCCTGTTGCTGCTGCTCCTGCTGCTGCTGCTGTTGCTCCTGTTGCTGCTGCTCCTGCTGCTGCTGCTGCTGCTCCTGTTGCTGCTGTTGCTCCTGCTGTTGCTGCTGTTGCTCCTGCTGTTGCTCCTGCTGCTGCTGCTCCTGCTGCTGCTCCTGTTGCTGCTGTTGCTCCTGCCGCTGCTGCTGTTGCTCCTGCTGTTGCTCCTGCTGTTGCTGCTGTTGCTGCTGTTGCTCCTGCTGTTGCTGCTCCTGCTGCTGCTGCTCCTGTTTCTGCTCGTACTGCTGCTCCTGCTGCTGTTGCTGCTGCTGCTGTTGCTCCTGTTGCTGCTCCTGCTGCTACTCCTGTTGCTGCTCCTGCTGCTACTCCTGTTGCTACTCCCTGTTGCTGCTCAAACCCGTGTCAGTGAAACTGTTCACGTTGGCGATTCCGCGTTCATCTCGTCGCATCCGTGGTGTCCGCGTCGGGTGGAGGAGGGGTCACGTGACACATTTTATTGACAACCCGACCCTGGCACAAGACGTCACGTGCCACGTTCAATGATCCTTTTTTAGTTTTCTTAGGGGGTACGGATCACCCCCCCCCCCACCCCCGATTTGAACGTCGCCGATGTTCTGCTGGGTCTGTGTAAATAGCTCCGTTCGCGTTGCCCCTTGTCATTGTTCACCCCCATGGATGGTTCTGCACTAATTTGTCGCGGATAAATCTGTTGTTCTGCTGTATTGGCCCTGGCTCTGCCTGCTGGTCTATTTACCCCCCCCCCCCCCCCGTCACACACACACACTGCCGGATGAAGCTAAGTGCGGGGCCTGTAGCATATGATGTTATAAAAGGGCCATAAATACAAAAAAACATGTTAAAACACAAATTTTAAACTTGCATAGTAAAGTAATTGTATTTTTTTCATTTGCTATACAGCCGGATAATACGGCAAATCGCTAACCTTAAACACCCGGTCGTTCATAAAAGTTTAAGGCGGTATAGTACTATATAGTAGTAGAGCAAGTGCAGAATCACTGAACCGAAATGGATAGCTTGAAAGTGCGGGGCCCGTAGCTACCTGCGTAGCTACGTTTGCTCCCAGGAGAATCCGGCACTGCCCACACCCCACCACTAGTGTGCGCCACCAGCTCAGCTCAGCCCCACCAGCCTGGCCCCACCAGCTCAGCTCAGCCCCACCAGTCCAGCCCCACCAGCCCAGCCCCACCTTCTTAGCTCAGCCCCACCAGCCCAACCCCACCAGCCCGGCCCCACCAGCCTAGCTCCACCAGCCTGGCCCCACCAGCTCAGCTCAGCCCCACCAGCTCAGCTCCACCAGCTCAGCCCCACAAGCTCAGCCCCACCTTCTTAGCTCAGCCCCACCAGCGCAACCCCACCAGCCCAGCCCCGCCCCACCAGCCCAGCCCCACCAGCCGAGCCCCACCAGCCGAGCCCCACCAGCCCCGCCCCACCAGCCCAGCCCCACCAGCCGAGCCCCACCAGCTCAGCCCCACAAGCCCAGCCCCACCAGCCCAGCGCGGCCCCACCAGCCCGGCCCCACCAGCCCAGCCCCACCAGCCGAGCCCCACCAGCTCAGCTCAGCCTCACCAGCCCAGCCCCACCAGCCGAGCCCCACAAGCCCACCCCACATTCTTAGCTCAGCTCCACCAGCCTAACCCCACCAGCCTGGCCCCACCAGCCTAGCTCCACCAGTCTGGCCCCACCAGCTCAGCTCAGCCCCACCAGCCCGTCCCACCAGCCGAGCCCCACCAGCGCAGCCCCACCAGGTCAGCCCCACCAGCCCGGCCCCACCAGCCCCGCCCCTCCACTGTTTCCCCTTTCTGAGTAACGGAGTAAAACAATCGCAGCAATAAACGACGACGGTGATGGGATTTCAGGATTTGGGACAATGTAGGGAATTTCTGCATCTTCAAGGACAATGTAAGATTGTTTATTTTCGGGTGGTAACCTATACGAATGTACAAACAAAAAGTCTTCATACCAACCATTGTGACGTCGCAACCCCCTGTTGTGCGGGCACGCGGTGTCGCGTTTTGATTGGACGTTCACGACAGTTGCTTCCTCGGGTCAATCCGAAACGAAGCGACATTTCGGACCGTCCGAAATTTGAGACCAATGATGGAATTAAAAAAAAAGTATTCCCTCCCCCCCCCCACCCCTCCAAATTAATCCACAAATCGGCAAAATCCACCCTAATAATAGACTGAGTTGCTCTTGCTCGGCCCGTGAAACACGTCGCCATTGTAATTTATCGTCTTGTAACTACTTGTACATGGTACATGTAAAAAGGTAAAAGCGCAGCCCCTGCCATGCCGTGCTTGCGCTGCCCGTTGCTGCTGGCAGAAGGGCACCGTTGCTCGAGGGGGCTCCAAAGAGGCCCCCCCCCCCCCATCCGTCTAGTCAGGGTATTTGGCCTTCCATGCGGGCCAGACTTCTTGGCAAGAGGTACACGGTATATGTAGATCTTATTTAAAAAAAAT